CCAGAGCGCGCTCTGTGTGTGTATGTATGTATGTGTGTGTATATATATATATGGATAAGCACTGGACTACTAACTGTAAGGTTGACTGTTCAAATCCAACAGCCACTCTGCAGAAATCCTACCAGGGTCACTATGAGTCTGAACCGACTAGACGGCACTTAACAACAATGTTTGAGGGCCTGTCTGGAGAGATCTCGCTCTCTGACTAAATGGTTCTTCCTGGAAGTCTGGTTCAACCTTTAGGAAGTGGCTTCCTCAGCCTCCATTTCTTCTAAAGACACTGCTTGACTCCCGTGGTCTCTTCACAAAGGATTTCTGCATGAGCTGCATTTTAAAATATCACCCATTATCTTTTTGTATTTTCAGAAAAGAACTTAAAATTTAGAAATAGCAACTTCAATCTCAAAATGCTCTCCAATGAGTCTGCATTCTTGTTTTGGAGAGAATTGCTATAATGTTTACAGGGAATATACTTGATTTTTGAATTACTGACCTTGATTTTTTTTTTTTTTTTTTGAAACTACTCTTATTTTAGGTTTGTTAGGAATATTCTTTTTCTAGGACATACTGGATACTAACTTTAATATATTAGTTTTGTAACAATCATAGTAACATTTGGACAATTACTTATCCAAACATATAAATAAAATGTTAATATTCCAAAGTACACTTAATAATTGAATGCTTATTGTATGTAGGCATTGTACCAAATGATACTATTTTAGACTGTATCTCATATTGCTCACACCAACCCTGTCTCCAGGCACCCTAACTGGTTACATCCAGATGTACTGTCTTTCAGCAAGTCATGCTGTTTGTATTAGACTGAATACATTTGGCATAGGAAAACCTTATCTTGGTGAGCAGTTATCTTGAAATTTTTAGAATTGATATTTTTGATATTCATAGAAAGAGTGGGTCTTTTGTAAACCTTTAAATTATGAGATATTTAGGCACCAATTTAACCCTTAAAGATAAAAAGCCTAGGATTAATTTGCCTGTGTTAGTGGTAGAGCTGGGATTTGCTTTCAGGGATGCTCTGACACCATGCTGCTTTCTGATATATTCAGCCTTGTGCATGAAGTTGTGGTATTGTTTTTTTGCCATTTTACTCTAAAAAGAATTTTTCCAGAATAGTTTCTGCCCTAAACAATTACAGTCAAGATGTTTAGTGTTTATTTATGAAAAAGAATTTGGAGTAAGAGTTTGCAAAAAGCCCTTAAAGGTTAGTAAATTACAGAGTTTGCTTAAAGTAATGCAGGTTAAAAGAACTAGGTTAAGTTCATTGCTTATCTGTACCTTGATAGAAATCTGATTTCTCTTCAGTGTATGGTTTTCCATCTTCTTTCTAGTTTTCTCTTCTGTATTATGAAAATGCTGATAACTGACATTTACAGCAAGAATATTTTTAGACTGAATCACATAATATATATGTAAAGCTCCTTGAGATTCTTAAGACTAAATGGGATAATTTTTATTAATTATGCTCTTCTTGCTTTAGGGGAAGTAAGGAGTAAACTGAAACCAATTCCATGTTTATAGAACTAGTTGTTTTTATTATCTGTAAAGTGATTATCTTACCTTGCAATTTATTCTGATTTCAATTTGACAATATCTACATGTTCTTTTAAATTGCTGGCTGAGTTGGTTAGTTTTTGTTTTTGTTGTAAAAAGATGCCAACTTTTGCTTACAGAAATTTTAGTGCTCAGGTTTTGCCTGCAGCCTACTTCCTACAGGGAATCCTTAGGAGACCTAATCTCCAGAGAAGATTTGAACCCTGCATCCCAGCCTAGGCTAGTTAGTGTCTGACATCCCTCAGCAAGAAGGGCTTTCCTTTTCCAGTGTGTGGAGGTGCTGTGAGGACCTTAGAGGGAAACATGCGGCTGCCTCTGCTCCTACAGAATCACGTCTTTTAGTTGTTTGCAATTAATTTATTAGGTAGTACTATTCTGATAAAACACGAAACGGACTCTAAAGCTAAATTGAAATCCTTTTTGTATAACCAATACTAATTTCTTCTTGTCTCAGGTTGATTCTCTCACCTCAGTCACATCAATGTGAAGAATTGAAGGGTTGACACCGCATTTCTCAGCATAAAGTTTTTTGATGAGGACTAAAAGCATCAGACTAAATTTCATGATGATGATTTCTGCTGTGCAGCCAGTGTTTATTCAAAGCTTAATTAAGCTTCTTCCTCCTTCATCTTAAGTCCAAGTTCCAATGTAAAAAATCGGGTCCTCTTTTACTGCATCCCTTAGTATCCAAATTGTATTTAGCTCAGCGGATCTTCTACCTTAAGAAACACGAATTAATAAGATTTGAGTGGTCTGCTTCTAGACATCAAAGTCCTTGAGAGTTTTAATTTTTTATCTAATGAGTGTGTGATAGCATAATGCCATTGCTAAACTTTATAAAAATAGGAATTTGAATTGAAAAAATGATTTCATCTTTCAATTGTGGAAGTTAGCTTTTTGATGAGTTTGTATTGGAAGAATTGCTTATTTATTTGGTATTTGGTGTTTTTTTTGTCAACAGGAAGAAGGTAGATAATGACTATAATGCACTTCAGGAAAGACTCAGTACATTGCCTGATAAGTTGTCTTATAATATCATGGTATGTTTGGTGTGTTTCTTTCAAAGTCATATATGTAATGTATCAGAGGTAACCATGGTAGCAAGGAAGGTTATTTAGTGTTGTTTTATATAAATGCATCAATTGTAGTAATATGTGCTATTATTTTCCTTTACATTATATCATATTATGGTGTCAAATGACAAATGTCAGCACAAAATGGATGTATTTGGTGTGCAGTTCTGTTACATGGAAAACTATAATCACAGCACACGTTCTATCACTTAGTTGTTACTGTTAGCCAGAGCAAGAATAGCAGGAATATTTTGTAATGCACAGAATTAAACTCTAGGAAATTAATTTTAATGTAAAATGGTGCAAATATTTGCCTTAGTGATCTTCATATCTGTATAGGGATTTATTGATATTTCCTGGGTTAGGATCTTTCATTGCATAAATATTCCTTCTCATAAAGACTTTCTTCTTGTTATTCAATCCCAAATATTTTATAAGTAGAACTATTCTAGGTAGACTCATTAAAGGTATTTACTTCTTAACTCTTGCTTTGTGAAAATGGGTAATGTATTGGAAATAATTTTTAGTTCTCATTAAACATTCTCTATTGGTAGCGTAGTGGTTACGAATTGGGCTGTGAACCGCAAGGTCAGCAGTTCGAAACTACCAGCTCTTCCACGGGAGTAAGGTGAGGCTTTCTGCTCCCATAAAGATTTACAACCTCGGAAACCCTGTACAGGGTCGCTATGAGTTGGAACCGACTCCACAGGTCATAATAACAATAAAAACAAATTAACTTAATATTTCACTGCAAGTTGTTTTTATTTAGATGTATGAATAAATGAAAAGTGTAAGCATTCAGAGGCAGTATTTCTTTCTCTAAAAGTTATATGTACAAAATATGATAATGATTTCTTTTTCAGTTTTCCCATTGATTTCTTCCTTTGAAACCATTTTGTATAGATTTTCCTAGTGAAATTTTAATATAATATGAAATTTCTGTGGAATTGACATTTTATTTTTCCAATGTATAAATAAAAAAGGACCACAGTAACTTAGGACTTTTAATACTAAGTTTTTCAGAAAACTGTTTTAGTGGTTTTTAATTTTGTTTTTTCTTTTTTAAACAATAGGTACCATTTGGCCCCTTTGCTTTCATGCCAGGAAAACTCATCCATACTAATGAAGTCACTGTTTTACTTGGGGACAACTGGTTTGCAAAGTGTTCAGCAAAGCAGGCTGTAGGCTTAGTTGAGCACAGGAAAGAACGTATGTACCAATTATAAATGATGTTTCTTTACTCTATGTGTATGTTCCAATTATAGATGATGTTTCTGTGCTCTGTGTGTATTGGTTCATAAATTGCAAGCTCTTTTTAGGCTGTTTGTTACCAGACGTACCTTTCGTGACTTATTAGTTTATGTTAGCTCTGATGTAGTTGAATTCTTATTTTAGTGGGATCCGAATCCGAGGATATGAGTTGGAGAATAGGACATCTGGGTTGAAAATGTCATTACATTGATATGTTTGTAGGAATTACGACGTGCCAAAGTCATTACACATGATTTTGTATATTGAAGTTGGTAAGAGTTAAACATTGGGGTCATTTTATCCTTTATAAGCTGATTGTTTTAATTGCATTTAATATGTTAGTACTTAGAATTAATTTACTTTATGTTTGGTGAACTCAGAAAAATACCTATTTGCCAAAGTAGAAACAAGTTTTATTTAAATACCCTTTTTACTTTGGATGAAATTGTATTTTCATTTTATAGAAAGAGTCCAGGGGTGGAAGGAGGTGCATCTCTTGTTTTACCTGCTTCATTTTAAAGTAGTTCTTTAGTTTTGTTGGCCTAGGTTATTTATTGGTATATCTGGAGTCCTGGGGAGGTGCTGCAGGATAATGTACTGGTGCAAGGTTGGTGGTTCAAACCCACCAACCACTCCTTGGAAGCACGAGAGGGTTGCTGAGTTGGAACCGACTTAATGGCACTAAACAACAATAGTAGCAAAATATACATACAACATATACCCCCCAGCCCCCTCACACACACACACAAGCTTATTTTAGTTGAATAGGTTGACTTTGGTTGG